GAGACGCCAAAGGCTCATGTATAGAAAAACTAGCCGCTCTGGTACTCAATCGTTCCATCTCAGGAGTTGTATTCGGGAGAGTAATCTCTTCTACTACTAGGGTCGTCACTACAACTGGTACTCGTGCCTCCAAGGAAAAAGTAGAAGCAACATCATAAGTCACCGGCATACAGACATACAATCTGGTAGTAAGACCCTCTTCCTTGGCTAATGCAAGATCCTTATTCAACTATTCCATGTTATATGCAAGACACGAGTAACATTGTCAAAAAAAGGGGGTGCCTCAGACCCCCATCATCAACAAAGAGTTTTTTCCTCTTAAAACAATCGGGGGCTCGAATAATGGTGCAAGTATCTATTCGCCTCTTCTTTTGCTGAAAAGAGAGCACTTCAATGGGACCAGATCCTTCATCATATTTGGAACCTTAATACTAGGCATATAAATCCTCTTTCTTCTTTACCTCTTCGGGAGACAAATGAGTTAACCTGAAATGGTAAAAAGGGATACACCGGTGAAAATAAACTCTTGACCAATACTTCTGAAAGCCACTTTTGCAAGAATGGGCACATCCTACCGGGGCTAAAGACGAATAGAAGGCTAGATGAGCCTCGGAGGTGATAGGTTTTACCAACATGAAATGCTTCTGGAAATTACCCTAATCAGAGGAAAAATAGTCGAACCAAGGTACCTGTGGTTAAGGGAGATTAATCCTTGATCTCGGACACTATCCTGAGAAGTATGAGCCACATAGAATAAATCGAAGAGGAACTCCAAGGAAGGCTTCCAAGATTTATACTCGGCACATAGTTGGAAAACCTTCATGAAATCCCATGCTCTGGGATGGAGTTGCAAGGGGGAATCCTTCAAATGTCCCATGACTGCCACTTCAAAATCATAGGAAAAAAAGTGTATCCCTAACTTGATAAAAAATAATTCATACAAAGGAACTGAACAACATTTAAAAGAGCTGCATATCCTCTTATTTGAGCCTGTTAGGAGAATCGGCCAATTCGAGGATTGCCAACCTGATGCCAGCTTTTGCGACAGCTTCGGCAGTATTCAAAACAGAAAAAGTACCAACTATTTCAGTGGCTACCCAATGATATATGTTGGAGTTAGCCATCTCTATTAATCGAAGGCCCCTACAGGCCAATACGTCATCACTATAATGGTCGTCGGGGCTAACTCAGAACACAACATCAGACTGCCCATAGCACTCTAAATGATGAGCGATCTCAACATCGCTAGGCTCATGCCAGTCACCCCCAATATATTTTAACAAAACATCTGGAATTTTTCCTCCTTCAACAGACAACTTATATTTTTGCCTCAGCCAAGACATGAGGAGGCATTAGTTTCTCGACAAGGTTTCCACCTCTATCAATTTTTTTCCAAAAAGAGAGCCTCCAAAAAATATATAGGAGGAGTCTCGTCTGAAAGAGATTCTCCATACAACCCTTCCATTTCTGAATCATCACCTAAAGAAACAATTTCCAATATGAAATCCCCGCTAACAGTGGAAAGGGGATGCAATTTAGATACCATCATTCTTCTCGATGGAGAAGAAACACTACCTTCCAAATCACTCTCGATGACAATGGGGTTATTATCCATCGTAACAAAAGCACAGTAAAATATTGAAATGAAAAAGATGAAAGGAAGAAAGGTACCTCAAAATGTAAGGCTAAATGTGATAAAAGCAAGGAGAGGACTAAAGAATCGAAGCTTTAAAGCTTTGAAAATTTAGAATGTGTAATGGAATATACTCCTAAAGAAAAATCTCTTAAAGACGATGGAAAGACTCGAAGAGATAAGGGAAACTCAGTATACACGATAGCGAAAAAGTTTTTCCTCTCTCTCTTTCTATTCTTATATAGGCAAAGGCAATCGAACATACCAGATTGAAAGTAAGAAGCAAGTATGAATTAACGGTCAAATTTTATCTTGGGAACTCATCAAAACTCAAGTGCATTGTAAGCTATGTCACGCCACTCCGCACCTTTTTCAGGTCACACGCCAAGAGAAAACGGCGAAACACTTCAATGATGGGACTGCATTTAATACTCATGTTCCCCATTACTCTTTTGCCAAACCAAGTCAGTATATGTCAACCGGCACCTGTGCAACTATTCTCAATGGCTGGCCATAACTACTAAAAGACTCTTCCGCACCCAAAATGCCCGGCAAGTCTTTAGGGAAATTTTTCTGTGTTGGGCGAAGGCCTCTGGTCCACTACTCCATGTCAGTCAAAGGCCCAATATTACAAGGTCGACTTATTCAATTTGATCCACTAAGCCCAAGGTATAAATACCTTCACAAAGGGTTATCAGGTACACAATTTCTAATCTTTATTTCCCTTACGATTATCTTGAACCTTAACTGACTTGGGTGTTGGAGTGCTAACCATGTAGGTACCCCTTAGTTCCATCGTACCACAATTAACAAACACTGATTCAAGATCGACATCGATCAACAATGCCGATTCACGACCTATCTTATCGATCAAAGGAGCATTGTGATCATAACCTTCGATCCACGATGTCCATCGCATAATCACTTACGAAGCTCCATCTCACAGTAGTTTCCGCAATCTCTTCCATTTCAGGTTTCGTAACAAAATAACAACAAAACAAAACCATGTAATATTGTTTCTAATAATATTAAGAACCACATACCTCGTAACATGGTGTAGATTAGACATTACTAAACTTAAACAAACAAGACAGAGAATCAGGATTCGAGCACTAACATTTATAATGGAAATGTTGATTCCGAGCATAGGCGAAAACAATGGAGACGGTGATGATGTTGAACAAACACGCTAATTTCATTTTTTTGATTTCGTTTCAATTTTTTAGATTTAAGTTTACAATTTAGAGAGTAAAATGTTAAGAGGAGAAAGACAAAATAGGGTAGGCTTGTTGGTTTAAGTTGAATTTAGTTTGTAAATTTTAATATTATTAAATTATTATAAATAAATACCATTAATATTAATAAAATAATATACAATGATCTAGATTTTTTTATTCTAACATTGACACATCATCAACTTCATTATCATGTCATTAAAAATTAAACTAAGATTAAATGAGAATTAAAATCGTAAGAAAATTAAAATAGAAAGTTGAAATAGAGGGAGCAAAATATCAATTTTTAAAATAGGAGAATATAAAATTTAAATAAAAATGAAAGAACCAAAAGTATATTTAAGTTTTTCAAATTAACCAAAATTTGAGAAAATTTTGAAGATGATGTGATAAATGTAAAGGTTTAAAAGGAGAATGAGAGGCTAAAAAACAGTTAATATCAAGCTGACAAATGAATTGATGATAGTTTCTCCAAACCATAATTTTTTCAATACAATAGATAAACAAGCATGTAATGGAAAAAACTTAAGAATCTGTTCAGATGAAGGATTTTAATTAAAAAGTAATTTTTTAAGAAAATTTAAAACCACATTATCTAAATTAATTGTTGAATTAAAAAATATAAAAATTTATTAAAATTAAGAAAATGGAGAGAAAAAGAAATGGAGAGGGAGAAAATGAAAATGAAAATGAGAAAGTGTGAAAAAAAATGTATAAGAAATTTGAAATTTGAATTAAGATTAAAAAAAAAAGTGAAAAAGATAAAAAGAAAAAAAGTGAGAAATGGTAAAAGAAGGTAGTTTCAATTTTTGTGGCAAAAGGGCATTTATTAATTATAAATATCCCTTTGTGTTGATATAATTTTAAAAAAATGATATATTAGAAAGTTTTGTGGTATTTTATTTTAATAGATAGATTTTAATAGATAAATAGTTGAAATGATTATTTTTATTTGAGAGATAAGTTTGGTGATTTTTTTTATATAATTATTTAATACAATTAAGTTTATATAATCATTATTTATTTTAATAAAAGTAATATATTATAAAATGACATATCTATATAAAAATATTTTATACTGTATTAAATTGAATATTATTTAATAATAGTGCGCATCATTAACTTTTCATTTCATAGATATCGATATCTATTTTACTTTAAACAAACAATTGTTTTAAACAAACAATTGTTTTTTATTAAGAGATAAATTTTTTATTTTTAAATGTAGAAATTTTCTTCTTTTTTTTTTAATTCTTTTTTTTATTTCAAAATTATATACATATCTAAATAAATATTATACCATATTAAATAAATTTACTCAGAATATTTTGCTAATTATTCATTGAAAATTGTAATGAACAGTGAATCCCGTCCACAAGGAAAATAACAATAAATAGAATAGTGATTCAATTAAATATTTCAATGGATACTGTAGTTTTATTTTCTAGAAAATCACTAATAAATTACATGTTACAATTTCCTTTATTTAAAAAATTTTTAATCCGTGTTTTAATATAATAAAAGGATTTAATTGAAATTTTCACATTATAGTAATTAATCTCGTAATAAAATTTAAAGGGACTGGATATTTTTTATAATAGAAATTTGTGGCTATGCAACAAAAAAAAGTTGTTCATAATAAATTGATAAAAATAAATTAAAAGTAAAATGATTTATGTTTAAATAAATTCTTGCAAAAATGAATCTAAGGGTAAATTTTAGTATAAAAATCTCATTTCCTCTCAAAAGTTATAAATTCTAGCATGATCACTTCTACTCAAGACAACCAAACATGTCAAAATTAATTTTATTCATCCATAATCAACTTTAAATGCTCCAACCATAAACACAAACATACACTAATCACAAAAGACTAGTGAGACAAATCGCTTTATTAATTGAGACATCCAATTATGGTTCATGACTTCATGTAACTTACAAACTAGAACTCTTCAACTTCTTTCATTTTTATTGAGCACAATATTTTGAAAGAGAATAATATGAAGAGAATCATGACCCAACTAGAAAAGACCAAAGACAACACCAAAAGGTTGGATATGTCATAAGCTCATTATGTCCCACCTACATTATTGACCTGATTCTTCTGAAGAGTCCATGTGTACAACTGGAGCTCAGAGTGCTGCTATACACTCTATTTCAATCTTGGCATCCATCGGCAAGGCAGCTACCTGATACGTCGCGCGAGCCGGGGCAGGTGAAGGAAAGTCTGAAACCATTCAAACCACATGTAAATGATTATTGAAACATTGGATGAAGTTTCAGAAGTTAGAAGTGTATTCACATAAGAATCAAATGATTCTGATTCTCGTGAATGAGACGCGTACTCACATTTAGCATAGATGTCATTAACTTTCTTGAAGTCCTTCAAGTCAGCCAACCTGGAAGAAATGAACGATATTAACCTTCCACATCTTGCCACCACTCAAACAAAAAGAAAAAATAAGGAAAGAACAAATCATTCTTACAAAATTGTTGTCTTAACAACTGATTCGTAGCTGGCACCCCCAGATTTTAAGATCTCCCCCATATTTTTTAGAATCTGCAATATGTAATTTGTTTAAAATATCAGCACAAAATGTGTTTGTGCATTAAGACGGAGTTACCAGCATGTGTTAGTGTGTTACTATGAATATGAGGGGAATTTACCTGCTCGGTCTGAACTTCAACATCATCTGAGGCAAACTTCCCCGTCTGCATTAGAGAGCACAACATTGATTATTAAATCTACATCATGCAGCCAACATAAATGCACAACTGCACCTGTGTACACAAAGATTATGCAAGATTGGAAAAGTGAGTTATCAAACCTCGGGAACAAGACCAAGAACACCCGACACAAATAGAAGGTTGTTGGCTTTGATTGCTTGAGAATATGGTCCCAATGCCGCTGGGGCCTTGTCAGTGTGAACAGCTTCCTTGATCCCTAGAATCAATCAGAATGTCATTGACAGCACAAGATTTAGTATATCAATGAAAACAACAATACAAAAAAGGATTTTCTTGCAATTCAAACTCCTATGCCGTTCTCCCTTTGAATCTCTGCCAATAGGAATATATTTTGCAGTTTGAACAACCATTGATTATACAATTTTCCAGCTGTGCGCATGAACAACTACAAAGAGCAAGTTTACATATGTAGTACTGACACTTCATATTGAACGTCTTTTCGAGTGTTTGACACCAACAAGACACTGACATTTGTGATTACATACCATTACTTCTAACTTTTAAAATTATAACTGGTGTTTACAAGATGTGTCCTGCAAGCAACGTAGTCGAGCACAAGATCTTACGTAGGATCAGTTGGCTTGTGAAAGATCGTAAAACTCGGATAGTTAGCACATAAGATCTGAAGGAAAAAATGGTAATTTCATATATAATTCACAAAAATACACAAAAACATGAAAACTATTCAGGCCCAAGAACACTTTTTTACGATCTTGCTTCAAAAAGCTTGATTTTGACCACACTCTTGACGAAAATGATTTTTCTCTTATCATAGCACTCAGGCATCCTTGGCACATAAGATCTTACGATCCAGCACTTGATCTTGACTACTGCCCGCATGTCCATGTCCATATCAATGATGGTGTCAATGCTTCATATGTTTACACAATTAAATGCAGCTAAGCATCATCCACACAAAACGATCCTATATTGTAACAAAATTTTGTAGAAAAAGAATTTACAAAAGAAACTTTTCATAAAAGTTTCAAATGAAAATTTGGTATGAATAGATATTCTTAAAATGTTATTTTAAATATATCAACATTTTATCGAAAAAAATTTTAGATATCAAAATTTCAAAAAATCACTTTATTTTAAAGCTATTTCAAATAGCTTTTCATGAAAATCATTTTTGAGATACAACTTTTTTCAAAAATTAAAATTTCAAGTATGTTTTGATCTTCAATAATATATGTTTATGTTGTATGATATCAAAATTAGTCTTAAAATTAATATAGAAAAACTTGTAATATTTTGAAAAACAGTTTTACAAAATCTATATTCTAAAATTAAAACAAATCTATTTTTTTAAAGCTAAAACAAACCGGCTTTAAATTGAAAACAACTCTGACTGAGCAAATGTTGCTTTGTGTTTTTACAAATTAGTGCTCAAGGATGAACTCTGTTAAAGAATTGAGAACTCTTAAAACCCTAATTTCCATAAACGAGAAATTCTAGACTAAATGAGTACAAGTAACATTTTCACAGACCAAAACCAGAGTTGAAAACTTCTTTGCATCAAATTGTGAGAAGAAAGGGAAATAGGACAAAAGAAAAATGGTTGGAACTTACGAGCATCAGTAGAAAGGCTTGAGCAAAGGAAGGGCAAAGAGCGCTTAGACGAAGAGGAACGCCACATAACGGTGCCGGCAACTGAGAGACCGCCGATCCCGGCGGCCCATGAAGCTCGGCGGTTGATGACGGCGGCGTTGACGGATGAAATGTTGAAGGTCTTAGCAGCAGACCACGAAGCCATCTCTCTCTGTTTAGATTCGGTCGGCCACGGGTGGGTAGTCAGTGTCACGGTCTGTAACAGAGACAAGAGGTTGTCTGGGAGGGGGTAAATTGGTAATTGTAAGTGATATGTGAAATTACGGTTTTGGATTTTGATGTATGAAATTGGGCTAGCTATCTTGGGTTACAGGCCATAAATAGGTTATTATTACCACCCCTCGATGATTACTAGATAGTTTTTTTTTACTAGTTTATTGTGTGGAATTCACCCTTTAATGTTTTTTCATAATTATCAATTGAATTGGTGTAAAAAAATCTTGTTATAGGATGATGTTTTGATAAAGACAAGTAAATGCAAAGAAGGAAAAGATATTTTAAAGTTAAAAGAAGTTTCAAGACTTAAAGATGGATCATAATTATATCAAAGATTTTAAGATGTTGAATTTATATTCGGGTACAATAAACAATTCATTTTTATATAGGTCTTAGGTGCTTAAGAAATTATCTTTACCAATGATGCATGCATTGTTTTAAGTATCATTTTTAACTTAGAAATTTTTTAAATTTTTAAGGAGATCAATTGATTGCTCCTAACACTCAATTGATTTACGTGTTTTTTGAAAAATGAAAAAAAATGAATCGAAAAAAAAAAAAAACTAAAGTATCAATTGATCGTCTCATTATTACAATTGATTGAGGATTCCATTTTTAGCTCATTCAATTAATTGTTTGTCCCCTTCAATCGATTGATCTAATTTATTTATTTTATATTTTTTGAACATTACAATTAATTTAATCGATTGGTTCATTTATAAAATCGATTAATATCTGAAACATATTAAAAATGTTTTGAACATTGTATATGATAATAATACTTTTTCTAATTCATTACAAATTTTCATGATTGTTTTGTCAAACATTGCCACTTTCTAGAGATGTCTTGTAAGGTATATATAGCAGAATTTTTCAGATTTCAAATTCATCTCTTTCATCAAATATTTTCATACAATTCATACATACATTTGCAAAAACTCTTAGAAATTTTTACTATCAATTCATTAAAAGGGCCCTTTTCGCAATTGCGACAGTTGGTGTCTGTAACGCCCGTTCATTTTAATTAAATTATTTATGAATTGTTGGTGTGTCTTTATGTGGGAGTGTGTCTGAGAGCGTTGGTGGGTGTCCTTAAAGTATAGGAAACCATTTAATAAATCATTGGGTTTGATAATAATATAATATAATCAATAATGATGATAATTTAATAACTAGTAGTAATATTATATTATTATTATTATTATTATTATTATTATTATTATTATTATTATTATTATTATTATTATTATTATTATTATTAATTATTATTATTAGTGGATGTAATAATGGGAATTAGGAAGTTATTAGAGAAGTTGTGGGAGAAAGAGTAAAAGAACGATAAACGACTCAGAAAACCAAAATTGAGGAAAAAGGTTGAGGAGAAGAAAAAAAAAAGGAACGTGACTGTGGAGAAAGTAAGAAGAAGAATTTTCCATCGGTGAAATTGGAAGAAAGTTGCAGGAGAGTTACTGTAGAACGGAACCAGAACCAGAAAGCTTAGAATTGGCCTCTATTCAAGGTAAGGGTGGGGTTCAATTCTATAAACGTGGGTATGATCAATTTCATGTAGGGAATTGATTCATAGGTATAATTTTCGTTAATCGATAAATGTTAGGAACGAGGTTTTTCTATATAAGAAAGAATGTGTTATATACGATACTCTAAGGTTTCCCTAATGGGGCAAATACGTAGTAATGTTCCCGTAAGTTGAAGAAATATTAAGACTAATATTCCCGTAGTAACGTTACCGTAGTAACGTTACCGTTGTAATGTTCCCGTAAGTTGAAGAAATATTAAGACTAATATTCCCGTAGTAACGTTACCGTTGTAATGTTCCCGTAGGTTGAGAAATATTAAGAGAATATTAAGGGTTAATGTTCCCGTAGTAACATTCTCGTAGTAACGTTCCCGTAGTAACGTTACCGTAGTAATGTTCCCGTAATGATGTTGTTATTATGTCCCTATTTAAGTAAATTAGAAGTTGTAGTTATATTACCCGTATGAAATTATATGAAAATGTGTTGAGTTCTTATTTGTAGTAATGATGTTGTCAGTTGTTCTCTGACATGAAAATGTTGTTGAGTTCTCGATTGTAGAGACGAGGTTGTTTTTAATTGTTCTCTGCGAAAATGTTAGAGTCTTATTCGTAGGAACGATACTGTTGGTAGTTCTCTTATATGAACGGATTGAAATGGTGAGTCCATAATATATGCAAAATGTGATGTTTCTGTTATGGATAATTGGTTGTAGGCGTGATGCCTTGTTGCATGGTTGTTGCACAATTGTTGTTGTTGTGTTATAGTCCATAATAGTTGCATCTCATAGCATATCATTTGGCCTGGATTGGCGACGGTTGTGCCTGTATTGGCGTTATTAGGAGTGTTGGCTCCTAGATGGGTTCGGGGTGTTGGCCCTGTCCCGAGTTGTGGAGAGTTGTCTCCCGAATTATTGTGGAGAGTTGTCTCCCGAGTTTTGGAGTGTTGGCTCCTAGATGGGTTCGGGGTGTTGGCCCTGTCCCGAGTTTTGGAGTGTTGGCTCCTAAATGGTACCACATGCATATGCATAGTTGAGTCACATTGATGAGTCGCATTGTTGAATTGCGTTGTTGAGTTGTTTTGATGAGTTGCTGAGATATGATGATAATTGTTGTGGTTATGAATAATGAATTGTTGCAGTTTAATTATTACTAATATTTATGCGGACTACTGGAATTATAATATTGTGATAATATTCTGACATGACTTTTATCATGCCTTATGTTATATTGTTGATATCTCACCCTTTATGTTGTATGTTACCTCCGTTGGTGGTAATTTGCAGGTAACTCGGAAGAAAGTGTAGCTTTATGTTTAAGGTCGTTGGTCGCTCTGATACGTAGCACTCTGGGGGGGATGAACGATTAATGTTATTATTTTAATTGAGTTCCTTGTTGCTGAATTTTATTAAGTACTATGGCAAATAGATTGGTTGTTTCTGATAATGCCAAATGTTGCTTGGATGCATAGTTGTTTTAGAGAATTGATGCAAGATAATTACTTGCTGAATTTTAATGGAATTTAATTAGTACGAATCGTTGGAAGTGTATTATAACATGGCGTTTATGATTAAAATGTTAAACAAGTTACCGTTGTTTGTTCATCTGAATTTTGTGCTACGTGTGTTAGTAAATGAGCTTTTGCAGGTGTATGTGTTTTGGTTAAGTGTAGAATGTGACACCTCTGCTGCGTCTAAGAATTTGGGAGCGTGACGGTCGTCACAGCTCCATGACGCTCGTCATGACCGTGACGGTCGTGACATCCATGACGGTCGTCATGAGATTTTATTTGCTGCACTCTGAATTGTTTCTGTTGTTTATCTTACTTTTCTGCGATAGTTTAGAGTGGGGTGTTACAGTGACTCTGCTGGGGACTCCGGTTCCCTATGCGAGTCAATTCTAGCGCTTGTCTGTTTTATTTTTGGGTGTGTATATTTGTGTGTATGTATGTTGTATTTGTATAGTTTTTGTTGTATATCATTGCATTTGCATTTTATTTTCCGCACTTTGTCATTGTTATCATACTATACTGTTGTTGTGTTGTTGGATGGGTTGTTCTACTGAGAGATAAGCCAAATGCCCAAGTTTGAGTATAAACCTAGTATTAGTGTGGAGAGTAGTACGGGCTTGCATGTTTGGCATGCACGAGCCCTTATGAAATTTGCGTCCATACGAGGTTTTCTTTAAAGACATCTTATCTTGTGCATCTTGTACGGTTGAGGGGATGTTGAATTTGAAAACTAACGACTCTAGAGACCGTTCATTGGGAAGTCAATTGAGACCACCTTGATTGACCATGATGCCAAACCAGAAATGGTGAACGTATCATCGTTTCTCGACATGAGAGTTCGTGATACTGACGACCTGTATAGGGTGTCGTACCTTTTTCATAGATTAGGTCCTACCTGTGAGTGGGAAGGGTTTTGCAGGAAACCTTAACTTTCAACCGACCCGATTTTCTGTCAAAGTAGACTTTTGATCTTAACTGTTCTGGTATTCTAGATTTCTTATCAGAGCGAAGCTCTGGTTTAACTCAGTCAACAACACAACAGTTTTGGATACCTTGATCCTCTGTTTGCATTTGCATATTCATGTTGCATAATCTGCATGTACGTGTGATCTCGGGTTCTCATCTTCCCTTTGATTCTGGTAATCTGATTTGTTATCAACATGGAGCCTGAATTGAAAAAGACTATCACCTACAAGTTCCCGCTGCCAGAGTTAAGACCTTTATTTGGTCTTATTTCCATGGATGGTTCTGGTGTCATGGAAGATTTCAAAAAGGATTATGGGGAGATTCTGGGTTTTTTCCACAAAGTCACAAGTTACGAACAAGGAGCTATCCATACTTTACTACAGTTTTATGACCCTCAGTTGCGCTGTTTCACATTTCATGATTATGTTTTAGTTCCTACTTTGGAGGAATTTATTTTTCTAATGGGAGTTCCAGTCTTAGAAGAAATGCCTTTCTTTCACTCCGAGGAGGAACCTGATCTGGAGAAGCTGGCCAACACTCTTTATTTGAGCAAGTTTGATTTAGTGGGTAATTTGGTTTGTTGGAGTGGAGCTTTTGGTTTTCCCTTGTCCTTCTTGGTGGGTAAGGCTCAGTATTTTGCTAAGGAAGGGTGTTGGGTAGTCTTCAATGCTATTTTGACGTTGTACATATATGGTATTGTTATGTTTCCCAATATACTAGATTTTGTTGATATGAACGCTTTTCACATCTTTGCTTCCAAGAATCATGTACCTACTCTTCTAGGGGATTTGTATTACTCAGTGCATTACAAAAATGAAAGGAGGAGAGGGAAAAATGTTTCTTGTTGTGCACCACTCTTTCACAAGTGGTTCATGGATCTTCTTCCTTGCATCGGAGCTTTTGTTGATACAAGGGATAC